ATTAATTCAGAACAAAATTCGAAAATGCACAAAAACATAATTTGTGAATTCAGAACACAGTTTGTGAATTCAAAACACAATTTGTAAGCTAAGAACACAATTCACAAATGCACAAATCCAATTAGTAATTTAAAACACCATTCATAAACAAAACACAATTAATTCAAAACACAATTCATAAACACAAATTCAATTCATTAATTCAGAACACAATTCATAAATACACAACACAATTTGTAAATTTCAAACACAATTCGTGAATACACAAATCCAATTCGTAAATACACAACACCCAATTCGTAATTCAAAACACAATTCATAAATACACAAAACACAGTTTGTAAACTCAAAACACAATTTAAAAATACACAAATCCAATTATAAAAACACAAGGCAATTCATATGTTTAAGGGTGCTTTCACACCTGTGAATCGATTCAGTTGTTCCGAAACAGAGATTACAATTGTTACATTGTTGCTCTTTGCTCTTGGAGCGGTTCGCTTTCACATTGCAAAGTTTCTAATCGGACCAAAAGAGCTAAAACAAGTCACGTGCAAGTAAACTCACCTCACATTGGTCAGAGTGTCAGGGTTTATTTTGCAAAGTCCCGCTAAGCTGTCAGGAGAGGTGGTGGTTTGATGGGGATTGACAGGGTGCGCACGCGCGACGTGTCTGAGGAGAGACGCGGTGGGGAGGGGTGAGAAGGGTGCGCAACGATGCCTAGGACCGGGAGGGAGACGCGAGATTACCGGGAGATCATCACTCGTTTGCGGGCATCCGGAGACTCGCGAAACTTCCCGCTCTACTCATAATTCTCTCTTCTTATAGCCGTAAGCCTATTACATATCCATAAAACACTGTGATATAACCGCGCTCGGATCGGATCGCGTTCTCACTGCAGTCGAACCGCTCCAGGGTTTGTTTCAATCGAGCCGAGACCACCTCATTCAAGCGATCTCGGAGCGATTACTTTGGCGCGGAACAGAGCGCGATTGCCCTGTTCACATATGCCAATCGAACCGCGCTAACTGGGTTAACGAGACACGATCCGAAACAAAAGTGTAGGTGTGAAAGCACCCTTAAACACAAATCCAATTCACAAAATCAAAACACAATTCATTTGGGTTAGGGTTGGATTTTTGCTTGTGAAACACAAATTGTGTTGTGACTTTACCATTTGGATTTTGTAAATGTAAATTATCCTCTGCATATGAGTTTTATTTTTGCAAATGTATGAGTTTTAAAACTGATCTGACTCCATATTATGCTGACCAAGTCTGATTGGTATATATTTGTTCTGTGCTGCAGATTGAAGACCTGAAGAATGACAATGCACTGCTCAGAGCTCAACTACAACAGCACGGCCTGGAAATCAGTGAAACTGCATCACAGTGACACACACAAACCTTCTCACAAATAAACAGTCTCAAGCGGAGAACAATAACCCCTCAATGACTCACTCGCTCACGCCTCATCACAGACTCGTTCTGCAGCTCAAGTAGGGTATGAATGCTTGTTTGAAACCGACACACACACAAACACACTTCTGACGAGAGACTCTATGACCGTAGTGAAAATAATATCTGCTGTACAAGCACACTTGGTTTTTGTTTTTTCTTCACTCCCCACAAGAACTCTTCAACTCAGACTTGGCCGAAATGGAAAAAAGCTTCCTCTTCCAGACGTTTCCCGCTTGCCACAGGTCTTTGTCTTTAGTTCAAGTCTTGGAATTGTGAACCAGTTTTAATGCCTCCTCATACCTTATGGTCATCTTTTGTTCTGTTTATTTTATGCTACATCATGCAAATGTTACTACTGTCTCTGACATGACAGAAGGTCTTTTTCCCGAAGGGTTCGTCTGTTGTATTTATTAGCTCGAAAGAAATTGTGCAGCAGGTATTCAAATCTTTAAATTAGATTTCAAGTTTTTTTTTTGGTCCCGCAGTCTTTCCTTTATATTCATCAGGCTGCTCAGAGACTTGTCATCCTGGCACATCAAGGCTGATTTACAAAATGGATTTTCGTAGAATGTGAATGAAATCGCATTTAGGATGTTTTTCATTTGCGCACGATAAGCCCTAAAATAACATTACAGATCAATTTCAGTTTTTCAGAGTCCACCATATTTAATGCACTGTGATATTTAGTGAAGGATGAACGAGTAGCTCAGGGTTTTTGAGGTGCAGGAAAATAGCCGAGGCTCTGGAACTCCCCGCTAACCTTGTAACCCTGCACTTTTGTTTTTGCCTTTTGGCGTAACATACTAAATTCTAAACATTTACTGTATATCTCATGTGTTTCAAAACGTTGTTCGCGCATCATGGATACATTCAAAGAGGCGTACTTTTTAAGTCCTAATTCCCAGGCTCATTTATATACCGCAAATAAATTGGAAGATGCACAATAGAAATGGATAGAATTGCTACTACTTGTTGATTTTGTTGTAGCTAATGTGATTTTACTCCATCTATGTTTTGAACAGTTGAGGTAGAAAAGAAAACCACTATATTATGGGAATAGGAGTATTGGCAGTGGGAGTTATTGCGAATGAGCTATGCATAAGAAAACCAAACAAAGTTTAAAAGCGAACCGATTTATTTTCTTATACCTTCTTGATTAGTTTTAGTCTTTACCTCCTAGGTTGTTTTAAAGGGTTAGTTAACGCCAAAATGAAAACTTTCATCACCATATGTTGCTCCAAACTATTAGGAATTCTGCTCAGATCAGTAGTGAATCCAATTTATATCAACTCCCTAAAACTGATGCTTCAAGATGTTCATGAAGACATAAAAATCAATTGATAGGTTTAATCCAGATCTTTTAAAGCAGGGGTGTCCAAATTCGGTCCTGGAGGGCCGGTGTCCTGCATATTTTAGTTCCAAGCTAATCAAGCTTTTTGTAGATATACTAGAAACTTCTTAGAGGTGTGTTGAAAGACGTTGGAGCTAAACTATGCAGGACACCGGCCCTCCAGAGCTTGGACACCCCTGTTTTAAAGAGACATGCTTCATAAAATGATCATTTTTCACATATAAACACTGATTGGCAATGTTTGCAGTGTTCAGACTTCTCTTCGGAAGTTCTAGCATGCTTGCTTGATGTGTGAGAACTAATCATTTGGCTCTTTATAAGACTTTGTTAAACCACTTGACTCATTTGAATTGATTTATTTATCAAACTTGTTGCATATGTTTTTAAGTTTCAGCATTTTGGGTGAATAAATTGAATATGGAGCAACAGAAATGTATCATGTTTGATTAATAATCTAATCTTCAGAACATGAAGTGACATTATTTTTTTTATTATTTATTAATTTTGGAGTGAACTAACCCTTTATTGAAGGCCAATTCGGGCTTGTTTTCCCCCTATCTTGACAAATGCAAGGCTTGAATGGTTGAATATATGCTGGATTGTGTAAAATATTACTTTTGACTGTTTACTAGATCCCGTTAGTGTACTTCGTTTTAGTCTTTGGAAAAACAGAACGGCAAACAAAGGCATCAGGTTAATGCAGTCTAATCATAGCAAACCATGTGTTGAACCAGTGAAACATCAATATATGTCTATAATATTCCACGTAGCAATACAGAGAGTGCACGGATAACCCTCAATCACTCTTCTTTACAGTATTAATGCTGAACTTGAATGACTGTTGATGTAGAGTCCAGAATCCTAGTCTAATGCACTGCTGCTTTTAAATCAGAGGATATTTTTATTCATGTATGTCTGGTTGAACTGAGAAACCCTTAGCATGGCATTCTCACCACTGGTTTGATATCTATAAGCTATACAACACAGTTGCTTTGTTTATACCTAATGACTGTTGATGTTTATGTATGTACTTATATGAAAAAGAGTTACAATATGTAGGGGTTTGTTTTCTTTGAAAGGAGAAAATGTGTTGAAATAAATTTGAAAAACCTCTTGTGGATTTAATAATTTCTTCCGCATCACCACAATACCATGACAAGACACCTACTGTTTGTGTTTTCATTGTAACAAGCTTATTGGGTTTCACTGGTTCTCACAGTTTCATACATGGGGGTGTTTTCAAAAAGGGAGGTTAAGTTACCATCACATATACCATGAACTCTGGGTTTATTAACCTAAAACTCTGAGGTAAGCAGATTCTCAAAACACATCTTGCAGTAAGTTCAGTCAATTCATGAGCTAAAATGTAGTGTATAACAATTCTGCATTACCTTTATTTATTTTACACATTACTTTTATAGAAATATATAATATATAAATATATATAATTATTGTAATTAACTAGTTTAAACATTTATTAGTTATTTATATATATATATATGTGTGTGTGTATATGTGTGTATATATATATATATATATGTGTGTGTGTCTATATATATATGTGTGTGTGTGTACATATATAACAAGTTTAAACATTTATTAGTTATATATATATATATATATATATATATATATATATATATATATATATATATATATATATATATATATATATATGTGTGTATGTGTGATGCTGGTGGAAGAAAACGATTCCTGACCTCTCCTCTGAAACACCCTAAAGTGACTTTATATTATTTAAGTGTGGTGACTGTGCAGGCCATGGAAGATGTTCAACTTCAAACACTAAATTGGCCTGTGTTTTAGTTTTATTATCTAACTTATACACACACACATATTTTAAGACAATTTTATAAAGCTTAATAGGACATTTATAGGCTTAGCTAGGTTAATTAGGTTAGGCAGGTTAGGGTAATTAGGCAAGTTATTGTATAGCGATGGTTTGTTCTGTAGACTATCAAAATAAATATATAGCTTATAGCAATAATATTGACCTTAAAATCGTTTTTAAAAAAAAAATCAAAACTACTTTTATTCTAACCGAAATTAAACAAATAAGACTTTCTCCAGAAGAAAAATATTATCAGACATACTGTGAAAATTTCCTTGCTCTGTTAAAGATAATTTGTAAAATATTACAAAAAGACAATAAATTTAATGGGAGGCTAATAATTCTGACATTAACTGTTATATATATATATATATATATATACATACATATACACACACACACACACATTTAGTGGGGTCCTAGCACTAGTCTGGTCATATTTTAGGGCTCTTGCTGTCTGGCCTCCAAGTTCTCGAATACCCTGGTGTAGAGGAAGTTGAGGAACTCTAAATATGGTGTATTCGAGTAGGCAGATCATCACATCAAAGAGAAGAAATGCAAAGCATCACAAACAGGAAACGCAAGGCTTGTCTTGTGTTTTTGTGCCGAGTACTCAGGTCGGGTAAAAACACTTGGTAAGTGTTTGTGAGAATTGTAAAGAAACAGATTTTTTTCATGATAAGATGCTTATTTCATTTCGAATCAGAGGAAGTTGCACTGTTTATAATTTATTTTTACTGATGACTTCTAGTGAGTTGGCTGTTGATCATTGATGAATACCGGTGACGTGTTGGGCTAGCCTACTGTGCAAAATCATTTTCATGATAAAAATTAAGCATTAATGAAGGACGCACGATACTACATTGAGCATATATCATATACTATTTTTTTATGTATTTTGTTATTATTTGTTTGCTAGTAAAGTTTTAAGTTTACAATTGTCGTACAGGGTATATCTGTGATTATCATGTAGGTTAAAGCGTTTGGTCATCAAATCAGATAAGACTCGAGATTTTTTTACATTAATAATAAAACGAAGTAACTTTTTTTTACTTTCTTTTTTTACTTTCGTTTTGTTAATTATAAGTACATCTCCCCCTGGCGGACATCAGGAGCTGCTGCACGCGTTCTGTCTGCTCTGATTTATGTCGTTTTCAAGTTCATCCCAGCTAACGTTCGAGGTTACAGAAGTAACCCTTCGTTCCCCGAGGAGGGGAACGGAAGTGCCATGAATGGGAGGATTCGGATCAGAAGCCGCTTATCTGGAGAGTATTGAACGGGCCAATGAATGAAATTAATTGGCAGCGTAAGCTTGCGCAGGTGTGCGACATCTGCAATTATCTCAGCATATAAGCACACCTGAAGCCAGCAGACGCCATCCTTTTAAGCTGAAGAGACTTTCAAACAGCTAAGGGACAGTCATTATGGCGACGGAATATGGCACTTCCGTTCCCCTCCTCGGGGAACGAAGGGTTACTTCTGTAACCTCGAACGTTCCCCTTCGGTTGGGGAACTTCAGTGCCATGAATGGGAGAATATGGAAAGCGCCATAATGACTGCACCTTACCAACACCCCCGATGAGGAGATAGTCAAGCAAGCGTGACGCACCCACATCATGGGGGGCGCGGTCCTCCAACGTGTCCCTGGCCCTAATTTATCCTACTTCAACAGAAGTTTTACGGATTTAGATATATTTTTTGGGAAGTCGTGAGCATCTAGATAATTCTAGGAAATACGACAGTACGTTGGGAAGCGTGCAATCCCGATAGGGAGGACGCTGCGGAGGCCATCCGTTACCCAAGGGGGGGGATAGATGGCAGAATTTACCTATGGACTAGCCCTAAAAAGGGGGAGTACGCATAGCAAAAGAGTGGTTAGCGGAGAGGGAAGACACGGGTCCACCCAGGGGGGGGACTTAACCGTGGCGGAATAAGCATATGGGATCGCCTAGTGGGGATCACGCATAGCAGGCACCTATACCCAAAACGCGGGCTGACCAGCGGGCAGACCTACAACGTAGTGGGCCAGCAAGTGACTCCTCCGCTGAGTCAGTGCTGGGGGCCACGGAGGAATCTGCAGGGCTCACCTGACGGGGAACTTTACTGACAGATAAAAAAGGCGCACGTACCTCCGTGTTAGGGAGAATGGCGCCGCAAGCGTGTTTCAACACCCTACCGAGTTGTCTCCTCAATCACCAAAGGGTTACCTAATACCCTTGAGGAAACCGGCTCCACTCGCAGATTGTAAAACCTTGCAAATGTGTTGGGTGTCGCCCAGCCCGCAGCTCTACAGATGTCTGTTAGAGAGGCGCCGCGTGCACGCGCCCAAGAGGATGCAACGCTCCGAGTGGAGTGTGCACGAACTCCCGGGGGACACGGCTGACCTCGACTCGAATAAGCGAGTGAAATGGCATCCACAATCCAGTGGGATAATCTTTGTTTTGATACGGCACTTCCCTGCTGCCGACCGCCATAACAGACAAAGAGCTGCTCAGATGATCTAAAATTCTGAGTACGGTCCACATAAATGCGCAGAGCACGAACTGGACAAATTAAAGAAAGGGCTGGGTCTGCCTCCTCCGGGGGCAGCGCTTGCAGGTTCACTACCTGATCTCTAAAGGGGGTGGTAGGAACCTTGGGCACATAACCGGGGCGGGGTCTCAGGATGACGTGAGAGTAATCCGGCCCGAATTCCAGGCACGAGTCACTGACCGAAAATGCCTCCAGGTCCCCGACCCTCTTGATGGAGGCCAACGCAACCAGCAGAGCTGTCTTCAGGGACAGAAATCTTAGAGATACTGATTCGAGTGGCTCAAAGGGATCGGATCGCAGACTCGTGAGAACGAGGGCGAGATCCCAAGAGGGCATGAGAGGGGGGCGAGATGGATTAATTCGCCTAGCACCCCTAAGGAACTGGATGACCAGGTTATGCTTTCCCACGGTGCCGCCAGCTACCGCGCTATGATAAGCAGAGATGGCGGCCACGTAAACCTTGAGAGTGGAGGGCGACAGCCTGCTGTCCAACTTCTCTTGAAGGAAAGAGAGCACAACACTAATCTGGCAATTTCGGGGGTCTTCTCTGCGAGAGACGCACCATTCAGTGAATAGACTCCACTTCAGGGCGTAGGCGCGCCTCGTGGAGGGGGCTCTAGCCTGAGTGATGGTATTAACCACCGCAGTCGGTAGGTTACCTAAGTCTTCCTCGCGTCTAGGGACCACACGTGGAGGTTCCAAAGATCGGGGCGAGGGTGCCAGATGGTGCCCTGTCCCTGAGAGAGTAGGTCCTCTCTCAAAGGGATCCGCCAGGGGAGGGCCGTCGCGAGGAGTGAGAGCTCTGATATCCAGGTCCGGTTGGGCCAAAGGGGCGCAACTAGCAGAACCTGTTCCTCGTCCTCCCTGACCTTGCACAGAAACTGCGCGAGCAGGCTCACTGGGGGAAACGCATACTTGCGCATGCCCCGAGGCCAGCTGTGGGCCAGTGCATCCGTGCCGAGAGAGCCCTCGGTCAGGGAAAAAAACAACTGGCAGTGAGCGTTCTCGGGGGAAGCAAACAGATCGATCTGGGCCTCCCCGAATCGCGCCCATATCAGCTGAACAGACTCGGGGTGGAGTCTCCATTCTCCAGGGCGTAACAGCTGTCGTGAGAGCGCATCGGCTGCACGATTGAGCGTGCCTGGGACGTGAATGGCGCGCAGCGATTTCAGCCGCGGGTGACTCCAGAGGAGCAGACGGCGGGCGAGCTGAGACATGCGGCGAGAGCGCATACCCCCCATGCGGTTGATATACGCCGCCGCCGCCATACTGTCCGTCCTGACCAGCACGTGTTGCTGCTCCAGCACCGGTAAAAAGCGGTGGAGAGCGAGGAACACTGCCAACAGCTCTAGGCGATTGATATGCCAATGCAGCTGGGCACCCTTCCAGAGGCCCGCAGCCGCATGCCCGCGACACACGGCCCCCCAACCCGTGTTGGAAGCGTCTGTTGAAACAACAACATGGCTGGACGCCTGTCCTAGAGGCACACCGGCCTGTAGGAACGAGGGGTCGTTCCAAGGGCTGAGGGCGCGGCGACACAGCGCAGTAACCGAGACCCGGTGTGTGCCCGCGTGCCATGCGCGTCTGGGGACCCGATCGTGAAGCCAGTGCTGAAGTGGTCTCATATGGAGCAACCCGAGCGGCGTGACGGCGGCTGCGGATGCCATATGCCCCAGGAGCCTCTGAAAGAACTTCAGTGGGACCACTAGTTTGCTGTCGAGCTCCCTCAGACAGTTCAGCAACAGGCGAGCGCGTTCCTCGGAGAGGTGCGCTACCATGGTGATCGAGTCCAGCTCCATCCCGAGAAAAGAAATCCTCTGCACGGGGGCGAGTTTGCTCTTTTCTCGGTTGACCTGAAGCCCCAGTAGGCGGAGATGCCGAAGCACCTTGTCCCTGTGCATAATCAATTGCTCCCGCGAGTGGGCTAAAATCAGCCAGTCGTCGAGATAATTGAGTATGCGAATGCCCGCGAGCCGAAGGGGCGCTAGGGCACCCTCCGCGAGTTTGGTGAAGACCCGCGGAGACAGAGAGAGCCCGAAGGGGAGGACCTTGTACTGCCACGCTCGACCCTCGAACGCAAACCGCAGAAATTGGCGGTGGCGTGGAAGAATGGAGACATGGAAATACGCGTCCTTCAGGTCTATGGCTGCAAACCAATCCCGAGGACGAACGCATTGGAGAATGCGCCTCTGCGTGAGCATTCTGAACGGCAGCTTGTGCAGACAGCGGTTCAAAACGCGCAGATCTAGGATTGGCCGTGACCCACCGCTCTTTTTGGGTACGATGAAGTATGGGCTGTAAAACCCACTCTCCATCTCGGCTGGAGGAACCGGCTCGATTGCACCCTTCGCCAGGAGGGCAGCAATCTCCTCTCGCAAGACAGGGGCGGACAGGGGGTTGACCCTGGAGAAATACACGCCCGTAAACTTGGGGGGCCGTTTCGCGAACTGAATCGCGTAACCGAGTCTGATTGTGCGTATGAGCCACCGCGAGGGGCTGGCCCGCGCTAACCAGGCAGGCAGAGCCCTCGCTAATGGAGTCATCGCTACAATCGCTGACGTACCAGCGGTGGGGCAGCGCGGAGTGGGTGTGCTGATCCGGGAAGCACGAGGGTCCCGCGGAAGAGCTGGAGGAGAGCGATTCGCTCTGGCTCCGCACCCTGACTCCGGAGAGGGGGCTGGAGGGCTGAGGAAAGGGAGACCGTCCCCCCAGCGCTCGTGAGCCACTGGCGAAGCACGTAGAGTCTGCGAGCCGGAAGGCAGCGCGTCCCGGACTGGCAGAACTCGTGCAGTCACATCCGGGGAAGGGAAAAAGTGCTCTTTTACTGATGTTTTGGTGGCACTGAAAAGTACCGTTGTTATCGGGGCCCCGCCCTCCAGCGGGGAAAGAGCAAGTTTCCTCTTCTCCGGATGGCCTGTCTCAGGGACGCTTCGCGGTCCGTTTACCGGACTTAACGGCGCCCTGGGCAGGAGGGGCTGCCTGCTTTCGAGGTGAACGCCGCGCCCGCTTGGCCGGAGGCGCAGGCGGGGGCGGGGCAGCACTCGTTGGCGGGCGCCCTCGGCGAGGAACAGCGGAAGTGGATGGCTCGGCGGGCGGAGCGGGCTTACGGCCACGCCGATAGATGACATTGCCCATCGCATCCGACTGCTCTTTCACCGCCTTGAATTCCTGGGTGAATTCACCGACGGTGTCGCCGAACAGGCCAGCCTGGGATATGGGCGAGTCAAGAAAGCGAACTTTGTCAACGTCGCGCATATCGGCCAGGTTTAGCCAGAGGTGGCGTTCCTGAACCACAAGTGTGGACATCGTCCTCCCCAGCGCACACGCGGCGGACTTAGTAGTCCGAAGAGCATAGTCGGTCGCGGTGCGCAGCTCATGTAATAAGCTTGGGTTGGACCCGCCCTCGTGCAGCTCGGCCAGCGCCTGCGCTTGGTAGCGCTGGTAGGTGGCCATCGCGTGCAAAGCAGAAGCAGCCTGGCCCGCAGCCTTATAAGCTCTGGCTCCGAGGGAGGCAGACAACCTACAGGCTTTGGACGGGAGGCGGGGCAAACCCCGCCACGTAGAGGCGCCGCGCGGACAAAGATTGACCGCGATAGCGCGCTCCACTGACGGGATCGCCTCATACCCCCTGGCAGCTCCGCCGTCAAGGGCGGTGAGGGCGGAGGCACTCGCTGCACGGGCAGAGAAAGGTGCCCTCCAGGACTGCGTGAGCCTACTGTGCACTTCCGGGAAGAAGGGGACGAGAGGCTTCGAAGGCTTCGCCTTCTGGTCCTCTACGTAGCACCCATCTAGTCGGTCCGGCCGCGGAGCTGGGTGATAAACCATCTCCAACCCCACGGCCGAAGCAGCCCGGGAAAGCACGGCTAACATGTCCGCTTCAGGATCCGATTTGACAGCGCTCACCTGCCCGGAGGGGGCGAGCGGGTCCGGATCTTCGTCGGACAGTGAAAGCCCACCCTCCGATGCCGCGGAGGACATCTGATCTCCGGTGTCAGCGAGTGTGAGAGCTACCATCTGGTTAGACGGATCACTCTCACCACCCGAAGCTTGGATGGAGCGCCGTGAGGAGCGAGAGGTCCGCGAGCCCGTGGGCGGCGGATTAGCTCCCGCTGAAACCCTCAGATCTGCCCGAGCGCCCGCTGCTTTTTTAGAGCAGGAGGCAACTGGGGTGGCTCGCTCTCTTGCGAAAGTTAGCCGCGATCTTAGCTGTGCAACGGTCATGGCATCGCAATGACGACATGAACCGCCCGCGAGCACCGCATTAACATGCTGGACCCCCAAACATGCAATGCAGTGATCGTGTCCATCATCCGGAGACAGGAAACCCCCGCATCCAGAAACGCACAGTCGGAGCGCCATCCTGAAAAGGACGTGCTGCACGACTGTGTTGCTCTTTTAGGAAAGTTGCAACTATACGCACCGCTCTGGAGGACCGGACCCAAAGAACCGCAGGCAAGGGAGTAACCCAGCTCGACCGTCTGCCACCGCGAAGACCCACTCTGGACCGGGAGACACACTCGTTCGCTCTGAAGTGCTGATCAGCAAGAGGAACCCTCATCGACTCACTCAGAAAGGATCTGAAGCGAAAAGGATGGCGTCTGCTGGCTTCAGGTGTGCTTATATGCTGAGATAATTGCAGATGTCGCACACCTGCGCAAGCTTACGCTGCCAATTAATTTCATTCATTGGCCCGTTCAATACTCTCCAGATAAGCGGCTTCTGATCCGAATCCTCCCATTCATGGCACTGAAGTTCCCCAACCGAAGGGGAACAATTCTAGGTCCTGTTATCTTAAAGTTCTTATTAGGCTGCATAAATTTATTTTTATGTTCTTAGAACGTCCAAAACATATTTTAGATGTTGTAATGTTATTGTTTGGTTATAATAACGTTATTCAAAATGTTCTCATGTTATAAATTCTCAGAACACTATTAAAAATGTTATTAGAACATTCCTGCCACATTACAATAATTCTGGTTATTTATTAAATGCATTGATAAGCCTATACTAATTTTAATCTTATTCTAGCGTTAATTTAGTCTGACTACTTCCAGTTTATTTTATTTATTAATTAGACACCTGTACCTAAAAAGGCACTAGTACTTATTTATTAGGTTAGTACACTGTAAAACCTGATAAGTTAACTCGAACAGTTTGAGGAAACAGATTGCGGCAAACCATTTAAGTTTTGAAACAAAATGGTTTGAGTAATGTAAACATATTATTTGTGTTGATATCATTAAACATTTAGAATATAGTAACGTAAACATCAAATTGAGTTCAGTAAATAGAACAAATTAAGTCCAAAGAACTATACTCAATTGGCTTTGCATTGCTTCTATAGTTAAGTTAGCACAAAAATATAATTCATTCATTCATAACTCATTCGGTTCTGCTCAATATAATCAGTTTATGAATTACCATAACTCTTTTTCATTAAGTTAAAGTAACTTTGTTTTAAATTATAATTTAAGCTAACGTATTTAATTTAGTGATTTTCACTGTTAGGTTTTACCGTGTACTTATTGAACATATGCTAGTACATTTTTTATTCATTAGATCTCAGTATTTACTCTTATTGTTACATTTTTAATTGAACTCCCCTGTGGCCATTCTGACTACACATAATGTAAGACTAGTAAACATTTATTGTGACTTGCAAAAAAAGAATTGTTATTAATACACTGTAAAACCCAACAGTCAGCTATATCAAAAGAAATGAGTGTACTCTGATAAAATAGTTGGGTTAAAAATACCCCAACATATGACCCAACTATAGGTAATTATAGCCCCTTCCCAACTATGTTTTTTTTAACCCAATGCATTGGGTTATATAATTTAACCCAATGCATTGGGTTATTTTGATTAGATGTTACTTTTTCCATTCTGGTATTACTATTGAAGTACTACTATTATTTCAGAATTATGGCAGTGTAAGTAAATGATTGTCTTCGCTGGGTCCTAAAGGCGAGAATGACAGCCGAATATCCTAAATGTGTATTATCCCCCCCCCCTACAAAAAAAACTGTAGAGATGAACACGGGAGGTAGAGAAAGTGTTTTATCAGCCATGAAGCATACGTTTGTATCATCAATAATTAAGAGTGCTGGTGAAACGAATAGAAAAAAAAACGACACGAGAGGTAATTTGATAAAAAAAAATAACAACAATAATATTACGCTAGAGCTTAAATAAACATTACAACGCAAAAACAACATTTGTACGCATAATAATACAGCTGTTCAGTGTCAGTTAAATCAGTTGACTGTTGAAATTCCAAATTTTAACCCAACTGGTTGAGTTATAAATTAAATAACCAAATAAAGGTTAAAAATAACCCAACAAGCCACCTAATATGTTTATCTCAGCCATTGGGTTAAAGAAAAAAATCAACGTTTTTTAGAGTGTAGTTAACTTAAAATTGACTAAAAGTTAATTCTACTTATTTGAAAAGAGTTTTAAACTCTTTTAAATACCTCATTACTGAGTTAAATACCTGATTACTTCAACTTAAATGGAGTTCAGTATAGATTCGTTTTTTTTTAACTCAAATGGTTTGTAGTAATCAGTTTCCTCAAATGGTCTGAGTTGTCTTAACTTATTGGGTTTTTTCTGCCTAGACTGAGTTTCCATCAAATGTTGCTGTCGATCCACAATGACGACGTCCCAGAAACACAGACGATTCTGCTGTGAGCCGATGGGGGACAAACTCGTGTATGATCTTCCTGGAATAGGACCTGTGCTGGGTGGACGACTGCAGAACAAGGGTCTAATAAGAGCGCGGGATGTCCTGGGACGATTTCTAATTTTGAACAAGGATGAGTGGAAGTTTAAGAGCTGGCTAAGAGACTCGTGTGGAGCAAACGCAAAGCAGCAGAGAGACTGTTACAACTGTCTGAGAGAATGGACTAGCAATAATCTGTGAAGAGGTTTATCTAATAATTAATACTGCATGTTTCATCTTCCTGTTCACGTTCATTATACTGTTAACTAACATACCCTCATTATTTTATCTAGTATTTTACTCATTTTTTTATTGTTGTTGATTGCTTGATTCTGATTTTCTGATGAAAACTAGTTTTTTTATCAGGGTAAACCCAGTGATAAAGTAGTTCCGGAAAGGTCTTGTATGGAGCTAGATTAGTCTCAAAAATAACGCATTTACAAAATAAAATTCATACATTCACAGCACATTTCACATAATCCAGTTAATAAATTCAAATCACAAATTGTGTATTTATGAATTGTGTATTGACTTTCAAAATTGGATGTGTGTATTTATCATACCTGTCAACATTGGGATGTAAAAATGCGGGATTCCCCAAATTGACTAAATAAATGTAAAATGTAATGTAATGTGTATTTATATAGCGCATTTATTGTGTATGGCCATACACCCAAAGCGCTTCACAATCATGAGGGGGGGTCTCTCCACACCACCACCAGTGTGCAGCATCCACTTGGATGATGCGACGGCTGCCACAGGACAACGGCGCCAGTGCGCTCACCACACACCAGCTATTGGTGGAGTGGAGAGACAGTGATAGAGCCAATTCGGTGGAAGGGGATGATTGGGAGGCCATGATCGTAAGGGCCGATAGAGGGACTTTGGCCAGGACACCGGGGTTACACCCCTGCTCTTTCACGAGAAGTGCCATGGGATTTTTAATGACCACAGAGAGTCAGGACCTCGGTTTAACGTCTCACTTGAAAGACGGCGCCCACTGACAGTATAGTGTCCCCTTCACTATACTGGGGCATTAGGACTCACAAAGACCACAGGTTGAGCCCCCCCCTGCTGGCCTCACTAACACCACTTCCAACAGCAACCTAGTGTTCCCTAGTGGTCTCCCATCCAGGTACTGACCAGGCTCAGCCCTGTTTAGCTTCAGTGAGTACCCGATCTTGGGCTGCAGGGTGACATGGCTGTGGCCATAGTGTTTATCTGAAGCTGTTTCATGTAAATAAACAGTTGAAATCTTCAGTAATATGTTTTTATTATCATTAATATTATTTACTAAGGATAGAATAAATAGTATACAGTACATGAGAATATGCTGCAAATAAATTAGCAAACAGTTTAGCCTATTTAAATTAATAGCTATTATAAAACAATTGAATCAAGTTCTCAAATCTCACTGTATATTTTAAACATTCTGATTAAAGAGCAGCGAATGAATCCTTCATTTATATTTTTTGTTTAATTGCATTAAACAACAGAGGTGTCATTTTAAAAATGCACAGATCTATAATAAAAGCTTTCGATTGCTTTTCTAACTTTTTATGCTCATTTAAGACAAAATTTGTTTTGAGGCCACAAAATATATCCCAGGAGGTATGTATTTTTGCAGCTTGTTTTGCCGCTGTGTACGCTTTTTGAGATCTCAAATTTCTCTTGCGAGTGCCATTCACTCCTGCTGTTCTCGCATAAACCCACCAGAGGCTGCTGTTGAATTACTGTTTGACTGACTGACTGACCCACCCGCCCACTTCCCTAAACCCAAAAAGAAAAGCACTGTTTTTGTCTTACTTTCTGGAACCGGTCTTCATCGGACTCGAACCCCATCATCGTAGTCAACTCCTCTCTGCGTCTCATGTCTGCTGACTTACATGACGAGCTGACGGGACAAACTGGTTTCAGCGGGAAAGCCATCCACACGGAGGTAAGTGGTCAGCTGGTAACCGTGAAAAGGAAGGGCGTCATACCACCCCGTAGTGTTCTTTTAAAAAATAAATTCAGCCATACATACCTCTGACTACATAATTCGCGGTCTCCAGAAACTGCTTTAGGACTACGTTTTCAGAATGAGCCTATGTTGGTATATGTCTATTCAAACACGCACCCAAAACCCAGTGTCCACTTTCACTCCACTTCAAATCACATGTACAGAATCCATTTGGGAAACACGTCTATTTATCACTATGGAGCACGTCTGACAGTCACTCACTGCTACATGAACTGACTGTTTGAGGGTTGCATAAGAGGGGCGACTGTAATGGAAAGGAAGGAAATTCTGCCATCTTTATATTTTTATTTTAAAGTGTTTTCATGCCTAATTAAAATGAAAGCACAGAACAGATTCACATTTAAGAGCAAGTGGTGTCCCCTGGTGGTTCGGCGGTATGGGTTGTGTATAGGGAAGATTGACTCTTTAATGTTTATGGCCACCCTTCATAGAAAGATTAAAAATACTGGAGAAATACGAGAAAATATCTTTAAGGTATTATAGCAGGATAGAACTGTAAAATACAGGAGAGTCTCTGGAAAAACGGGAGGGTTGACAGGTATGGCATTTATTAATTGTTTTAAATTTAAGACTTGGATTTGTGTATTTATAAATTGTGTTTTGAATTTACAAATTTTATTTTCTAAACATTATTTTTGAGACTGATCTGGCTCCATAGGTCTTAAACCACATTATATATCACTACTAAATCACATGTCACAATAATTTCAGAACATTTCTAATTCAAATCATAAATTAAATAATTTGGTAAAAAAAAAATATATGAATATTGTATGTATAACTCCCAAAGTGATGGTTTATAAATGTGACAGTAAGCTAATAATCTGAAAATGTTATACCAAAATAAAAAGGAAGCAGAGTGACTTGTACTTTATTATAATTACATAATGAGTAGTGGGCAACATGGTGGCTCAGTGGCTAGTACTGTTGCCTTACAGCAAGAAGGTCGCTGGTTCGAGCCTTGGCTGGCTCAGTTGGCGTATCTGTGTGGAGTTTGCATATTCTCCTGGTGTTCACATAGGTTTCCTCCAGGTGCTCTGGTTTCCCACCACAGTCCAAAGACATGTGGTACAGGTGAATTGGGTATGCTAAAATTGACCATAGTGTATGAATGTGAATGAGAGTGAGTGGGTGCTTCTCAATAATGGGTTGCAGCTGGAAGGGCATCCACTGCATAAAACATATGCTAGATAAGTTGGCAGTTCATGGCTGTGGTGACCCCAGATTAATAAAGGGACTATGCCCCGCCCCCCCCCCCCCCCCCCCCCCCCCATAAAGAATGAATATGTTATGTATAACTCCCTAAGTGATGGTTTATAAATATGACAGTAAGCTAAAAATCTGAAAATGTTCCAACGAAATAAAAAAGGCAGGGTGACTTGTGCTTGATTATCATTATATAATTAGCAATTAATATTTCAGAAATACAAAATTACAGTACAGCAGCTTGTAAATGGCACAATAATACTGACGCAATGCTGTCAAAGTTGTATCTTTATAGATACCTTTATAGATATTGGTATAGGCTAGACTTTAAAATTTGAAATCACCACTGAAAAGTGCAAAAGAGATGGATGGCAGCATTGATCATTGACTGGAATTATGACACTTTCACTTGTAAAAAAAATAAAAAGATAAAATGATCAATAACCATTATAATAAATCATATAATGTGATAAAGAAAAACCTTATAATCATAATAAATGATTATAAGGTTTTTCTTTATCACTGCTTTCCAAGAAATTATGAAATTATTCCACTGCACAGTGAACATTTCAATGTATTTTGTCATCATATGGTGTTTGTATAGTCTATTGTTTTATAATATGTGGTCCACATTTGCTGTTTTGGGTCAGCTGCTTTCTCCTTATTAATGCAATAGGCCTGCAGTCAGCATAAATCTCTAATAGGCATATTTAATACTTTATTAGGAACACCTGTCAAACTCAGCCAATCACATGCCAGCAGGTATGCAGAAAAACATCTCTGAATGCGCAACACGTTTAAGCTTGAGGCGAATGGGCTATAGCAGCAGAAGACCACACCGGGTGCCACTCCTGTCAGCTAAGAACAGGAAACTGAGGCTACAGTTCGCACAGGCTCACCAAAATTGGACATAAGAAGATTGGGAAAAACGTAGCCTGGTCTGATGAGTCTTGATTTCTGCTGCAACATTTGGATGGTAGGGTGAGAATTTGGTATCAACAACATGAAAGCATGAATCCATCCTACCTTGTATCAACGGTTCAGGCTGCTGGTGGTGGTGTAATGGTGTGGAGGATATTTTCTTGGCACACTTTGCGCTCATTAGTACCAATTAAGCATCGTGGCAATGGCACAGCCTACCTGCTGACCATGTCCATCCCTTTATTACCACAGTGTACCCATCTTTTGATCTTCATGGATGTGCATCTGACAAATCTCCAGCAACTGCTTGATATTATCATGTCAATATGAACCAAAATCTCTGAGGAATATTTCGAGTACCTTGTTGAATCTATGCCACAAAGGATTAAGGCAGTTTTGAAGGAAAAACAGGGTCCAACCCTGTACTAGTAAGGTGTACCTAATAAAGTGGCCAGTGAGTGTATATTATATATTTATACACTGTAAAAAATTCAGGGTTCCACAATTATTTCACGTTGTCCTGACACAAACTGATTAAGTTAATTTCATAAGTTTTGCAAATTTAAGTGGATTGGACATAAAACAATTAAGTTGTCCCCCAAAAAATCTTAAGAATTGTGCAGTTTTAGCTAATAAGTTGTTTGAACAAGCAGCAAAAGTTAGTTCTTGACTATATTCCTGATCAATACAACGGCCTGTTCTTCATTTGGTTTTAATAAAGGGTATTTAGACCATATTATAAACATCATCTTCTACACACATACACCAAATGAATAAATAAATCCAAATGAATAAATTAATTACTTCAAAATATTAGCCTAGAAATTTGAGTTATGGAAGTGTTTGAATATGAGTACTTCATTAAAGAGAAAGTCAAATGTGACAGCTAAAGACAAGCTGATTTGACAATAAAGCCTTTCATATACACCTATATAGCCTAAACAACAAAGGAAAGTAACTTTAATTTGAGATCCGGACGCATTGCCCATATATAGAAAGCCAGAATTTCCGTCATTTCCACACTTCCACTCTCATTCCTCTGGGCAAAGTTTCTTTTATCGAGAAATAAAACTTATGCATTGTATGTAATTCTGAAGGCTTACTTTCGTTTCAGCATCGCTATCAAGAAGTGACGAAAGCATTCATTTTGTCAGGATGTGACGTGGAGAGCGTATTGATAGGTCCAAACAGTATGTAAATCACTTACGACAGACAGTAAAGATTTCTTAAAGGCGGGGTTTCAGCGCTCATAATACAGAACAAGCGATGAACAGGTAAGTCGTCGGCTGCTATTGGCATTATCTAAATATTATGCTGATTTACAATATATGTACAAAATTGTTAACTAGCATATCTTTGGTAATTGGTAAACATAGTAAAACATTTTTAAAAATTCTCAAGGGGAAATACCATATTCGAGTCAAGAAATGGCCAAATGGGCCAAAGCTAAGTCAAATTGTGAACATTTCATAAAGGAGATTAACTACACTATGTAACAGAAACAACATGAAGCATGTGTAAATTTCATTTAAATAAATAAATGTTTTTATTATTATTTATTTATTTATTTTACCCCTGGCATCTGTTTAAACTTTGACTGTATGAATAAAATAATTTCTCTCATTTTTTACTTTGTTCATAATTGTTGTGAGATGTATTCTCTTGTACTAAGTTTGTACATATTTACAATTAAAAATAAAATAACAGTATAAATACAAAAAATAAAAATAAAAATCCCAAGGAATGTAGTAGCTTGATTTTCTTTGCAGGAAGTAGCGGAGACAAAGAGTTTTTTTTTTTTTTTGTCGTTGACATCTTCAGATTTTTGACCTAGCTGTTATACATTAATTTACAGAAGACTTATTTATAAGTCTTATATATATATATATATATATATATATATATATATATATATATATATATATATATATATATATATATATATATATGGAACTGGTAGGTTTTGAAGGAGTGGACTAGAGACAGAAGTAATTTAAGCCTAGAATATGAGAATTTTTCTGTCACATATATTAGAAATCAGTCATTTTTTAAAAGAATTTTACAGTTTCTTTTACGAGTGCTAAGGTTAAACACAGCCATCAGGTGTGCATACACACTGCTGTAAAATTGTAGACACACCAATTAGCTGTAACCACAATAAAAAAGCAATAGGTAAAAACTATTAGTCTTCAATAAATGTTGTACAGGAGCTATAAATATTAATCTTCAATAAATATGGAAGGCAATGTCGCAGTATGGAAGATGAAGTACGAAAAGGAGGAAGATTGGTAAACTGGAAAAAGGGAATGGGAATAAACACGCTTTACATTTGTTGTATGGTTTAGTTTGGTTTAGGATAGGGCAATATTTAGCTATCAGTCTATCACTGTTTGGTGAATACAGTATGTTCATGTACTTCATAGCAATGCCTATCAAACTCTGATTAAATCAGTTCTGGTCAGTTAGAAATGATACGAGTGTTTAAGATTGAGATCAGCATTGTGTAAATGAAGCAAACAGATTTATATTGAATGAAGCGAGTGTGTGTTCCGTACGGTGTTAAAAATGTGGTTTGTTATATGGTTGTAAGGTTTTGAATGAAGTGTTTCATTTGAGAAAAGATCTGATGTGTTCTGCTGTTTGTGTGTCGATGTGTAAATTGTGTGTAGTGTTTTGACAAAATGGGCCTTAATTTCAAAATTGTGCTTAGGCAATCGTAAAAAACTGTAAATATTATTGGCATCTTTTATATATTTTTTGATTGGTTTTGAAAAAGCCATTGTTTACAACTTGCCTATTTACTCTAACTTGCCTGGTTATAATAATAGCCTAGTAAAGCATTAAAATAGCTCTTTAAACTGACCAGCTTGACCTCTTTTTACAGACACAGTAAACGACGATATTTTCCAAAGGCTGAAAAGATGGTAGGCTTTTAAACTTTTTGTAACACACACACACACACACATGCATGCACGCACGCACGCACACACACACACACACACACACACACACACACACACACACACATATAAATTAAATAAAGTATTTTGTAGAAGTATATGTGTTTTATGAAAAAGAATAATTGCATTCTTACCTGAATTACAACATTTCCTTTCTAAATTAAGTTGATTTCTCTCTTGAAAAAAAGAATTAATGCTTGTAATAAATGCTGTGTACATATTCTTATATCTTATCCTAAACACATGATGAGGAATTAGAACAAAGTAGTTTTATTAAACAGGGAACACACTATCAAAAATTAACACAAGACAACAAACTGAAATAGACATATAGAGGCTGTTTACACCCATTTTTTTCCTGACTGGATCGCTACAGCTAAAAGGACAGTTGTAAATGCCCCCCGAAACACATTCAAGATGGATCTCACTTGGATTGTTGAAGGTGGTCTGGGACGCGTTCCTGATGAAACAAAAAATGTCAAAATGCTGCTGGTTGTTACAATCACATGTGTAGAATTTCCTCTTCCCAAAACAATAAAAATAAATAAATGTCAGAGCGTGTTTGGTATGTTTGATTGATTTTAGTTAATCCTTATTTTATTTTAAATTGTTGTATTTTGATGTCGTTGAGAGTGTGGAACAGGAGTCCTGCAGAAATCATTTTCACTGATGAGCTAAAATTGTTAAAGAGCCCATATTATACATGAAATAGGGTCATATCTTGGTTGTAAGGGTCTCCAACAACAGTCTAATATGCATGCAAAGTCAAAAAACACTTTCATGGTCTTATAATCTGCATTTATTTTTACCTAATTATCCCAGCGACTCCTGTATGAATCGTCCAGTGATTCATTTGTTCCCAAACCCCTCCTTAGCGCGAAGCTAATCTGCGCTGATTGGACCGATGACAGTCTGTCACGATTGGTTGACTGCCTTCAGTCAGAGAATGAAATGCCCAATAGCTAATCAGCAATATAAAAGTAATCACAGTTCATACGCGCTCCATAGTGTAGGCGTGGATTTTAGCTGCCACACACACACACACACAAACACACACACACCTCTGGACGACAACGCTCCCGCTTCCGCCCGCACCCTCCAGGTTTTAGCCTGAACCCGACCGCTCCCGCTTATATTTAGAATTTCTTGTCCCGGTGCCCGAACCGCCCCGTTTTCTGCCCGCCGCGCCCGATCCCGCTAAAGAGCGGGGGAGAACATAACCGAAAATCACCCAGCTAAACAGTCCAGAGACAGCCAGACAGAGCTCTCTCTCTCTCTCATACGCGCGCACTAACACATACACACAAGCGCCAAGCAGACACACAGGCAGGCAAAGCTCTGTCTCATTCGCATAGCAATATCCACGATATTGCTAGAAAGCCCGCTCCCGTCCCAAATTAAACCTGTTACCGACCGCTCCCGCGATTGATTCGGAAATTTATTCCCGCGCAGAAATCTGGTGCGGGGACAGCCGCGGGAATGCAGACCTCTGCCACGGAACTCCGTAAACAAACAGCACGCGTCGCGTTTTTAACGTGACTTTGCACGCGATAAGAGAATATAGCCAGTTAACCTGATACAGTACACGCGGTTACAAGTAACAAATCACAACTAAATACATTTGCAAGCTAGAGTCAACGAGGCAACTTTAATCGCACATACTTACACTTGAGAAATGGAGGAAGAAACTCATCCTGACGTCTTTAGTAAGTTACTCTTTACTGATCCTTCCTTTAACAAACTCAGATGAAGTATTCTTTGTAGCCTGTAGTTTCCAGAAGTTTCCAACTGCTTGGTTATAATGCTGAGGTTTCATCTCTGGGTAGAGAATCGATAATGTCCATCTGCAGTGTGACTTCAATCGACCGGCATGTTTGTGTGCGTGTGTGTGTGTGTGTGTGTCTGGGTTTCTGCGTCAGAGGGCGGGGCCTCAGGTTTGAAATATTCCGGGTTTGCGCGTGCACGTGAATAACTTGGTTTCGTTCATACGTCATGGCGAAACACCTAATGAATCGGTATCAAGGCGACTCGTTTGAAGCACTATGAGTCGACTCTTTTATAGATGAATCAACCGTTTTAAACACTGTATTCTTACAGATTTAAGCCTTAGCTGGATACTTCACTTCACTTAGAGCTGTGTTACACACTACATGGAGGGGAATTTTCAAAAACCCATAATATGGGCTCTTTAATGCTTATTATTATGGTAGTATGAGTCAGAGTAAAGCTGAAAGCCATCAAAGCAAACAGCAAAAGCACCCAATGAGTTTTTGAAGGTAAGGTAAAGAAGTGGAATTTTTTACAATGGCTAAGTTAGTCACCTGACCTGAATCCATTTGAGCATGTATTTCACTTGCTGAAAACAAAACTGAAGGGAAAATGCCCCAAGAACAAGCAGGAGCTGAAGACAGTTGCAGTAGAGGCCTGGCACAGCATCATCAGGAATGAAACCCAGCGTCTGGTGACGTCTATGCGTTTCAGACTTTAGGCTGTAATTGACTGCAAAGGATTTGCAACCAAGAATTAAGAAGTGAAATTTTGATATAAGATTATTTTTCTGCCTAATTACATTTGGACCCTTAACAAGTGGGAGGTACATATGCAAACTGTTGTAATTCCAATAGCGTTCACCTGATTAGGATGTAAAAACCCTCAAATTAAAGTTGACAGTCTGCAGTTAAAGCACATCTTTGTTTCATTTTAAATCCATTGTGTTACTGTATAGAGCCAAAAATGTTACAATTATGTTGATGTCCAAATATTTATGGATCTAACTGTTTAACTGTTCTAGTTGTTTTTTTATATTTTAATGAAAAAATCTACATAATGTAAATCTCTTCAAATTCAAACTTAACTTTTAAAAATTGTAACAGAACTTGAATGTATAAATTTAGTTATTAAATTAAATAAAAACCGAAATCGAATTAATTCCAGAAACAGCTCAAATGTATTTTTGTGCTAATTTAGGTGTTTAGATAAAAAATAAAATAAAATTCCTGCTATCTTGACTCAATCCTGTGTGTGCAGCAACCTCGAAGAGGCAAGAAATCTTTCATCAGGGATGAAAGAAAGAGCAAGGCATGCCGGACCACTGAATCAGTCACACCATCAGGACTGCCAGGTAAAAATGTTCCCTTACAGGCTGCTCAATAAAAGCTACAATAGCTAAGAAGACATCTTAATAAAGCAGAAAAACATACACTGCTTATATTAAGCGTTTTTTTAACAGAAGAACATTTGGATATGAACACTACTTATGAAATCCAGTGTTCGTCTAAGGATGGGCACAAGAGACGTAGAAGTGCAGAGAGCAAAGCAATGGGTTTGTTTTTCATTAGATTCTCATCTGTTTGAATGCTATATTTGCACTTTATGTGTTGTACTGTGTAAGAGTGGTTTCAAGGGTGGTTCCACATTGGCTCTCTAGAAATGGTGGTCTTAAATATCCAGATTAATTGAGATCAAAATTTGGGTTACTTCAATACAACAGTTTATTGTTTTTGTTGCAATACAATTAAAGAATAACTATATATATATAGTTGTCCACATTTAAGTGGATCGAACCATTTTATCAGCATTGTCCTTAACTATTCAACAACACCCATTCTTCATTATGAGTCAATCATTATATATGTGGAAATATAAATTTCTATCATCTAATTTCAAATTAACAATAATCTACATATAACTAAAAAGTTATATTCTTTGGTTTTTAATTATATAATTTCATTAACATCCCAGCTAGGAGGGACATTTAACCTTTATCTTTCTGATTACAGGCTAAGCCAAAGTAATGCAAATTGTCAGTTTCACAGCATGGGGTGTCTATTGTTTTCTCTTTTCGATCAAATGGTCAGGCGGTTTCTGTCTCCAGAACATGATGAGATTAGACCTGAGAAGCAGTTTACCCTGCCGACCACAACCCTTAATTTGCATGCTTTGTTTAGCCATATCCCCTCCTCCTAAGAACACAATATAGCCATGAAATCTTTGTCTTAATTCAGACTAATTCAGACTTGTGTGAGACTTGTGAGAGACTTGTGAAAGAACTTGCAGACTGCGGACCTCTAGTAGGCTCTTGCAGACACATTTGGACATCTTGAAGACGCTGTATGACTGCAGATTAACCAACACGTCTCAATAAAGGAATTCTGCTTGTTTCGAGTCTCCTGGACTGGGTTCTTCTCTTCTTTTCACTCATTTATTTTTTTTTACAACATATACATATTAATGTCAAGAGAAAAATAGCCATTTTCTGTAGCCTGAAATAACCCACAGGCTAGTATTCCCAATGAGTTAAAAAAAAAAGACCAAGCCATTTCTAGTGAATTTTTTTCATGTAGGTGATGTCTTTTTGGCTGCTGAATGTGAAACAGTGTGTGTGTGTGTGTGTGTATGTATGTATACATGTTTTAAAAAAAAGTTTTACAATTTTGGCAGTCAAATGCATTATGATAAAATGACAAGTGCCCCCAAAGAGTCATCATTCTTTAAAACATACATTTAATTTTCTATTTACCTGTTGTAACATGCATGTATTGCAATGCTAATTACTAATTAATAATTTCATTAATATAAAATAAAAAGAAATGTAAAATAAAATACAAAAAAAGAGTTTTGAAATACAAATTGAAATGGTTTGATTGGTATTCATAGCCAGGTAAACTTGGCACCTGACATTTCAAAGCCACATTTCACCAGTCAGAAGACTGGAACACAGTCAAGGCTACCACTTATGTCAAAACCTTCTTCACGTCACTACTGTCCCAGAGGTTCCTAAGGGATTTAAAGATGCGCAAAAACACCCTCAAAGATCCGGATGTGAGAATGTGAGAATCAAAGCAAAAGCATTCAATGCAGTTCGTGGAGGTGTCATCGCTATAACTCAGACCTTCAAACAGTTTGTCAGAATTGTCAGGCTAAATGGTTAAAGAATACTTATCGAACCATGTTAAGATTTGCAGTGCTTGAAGTGGGATGGTACTTACCTGTATGCTGTATTGGAAATTACTGTTTTCAATTATGTAGGAATATTAGGATCTGTCCTGTCAAAAGGAAGTCTGTCAATAAACCAGTAGGTTCACACGTAAACATGTCTCTACTTTGAGCACTTAATGTATTTAAAGTGAACTTTCTGGTGGCACTTTGTTCAAACCTTAACTTGTATTCTTTAGGCCAGCGATTGTAATGGAACCACCTTTTAAACTAAAAAGCAATAAAAAAACTCCAACAAAATGACCTGAGTATTTTTTTTAACAAAAAAGCTTTTTTTCCTTTCACCATATGAACTGTAGCGGACGCATCGGTTTTACTGCGCAATCAAAAAAAGCAGTCCGAAGATGCGTCTACACATCGGAAAAAGTCTGCAGCAAAGTAAGTGTGACCACCATTTCAGAGATTGATGAAAGCTGAATTTGGAGGACAATGCTTTCATATGGTGTTTTAGTAGCCCATGCTGCAATGGAACTTCAAAAATTGAGCCACATCATCAAAAACACCACTGAAATAAGCCATTTTTATTCTCTAATAACAAGAGCTTAGGGAATCATGAACATTGGAGGATTTTTAGTAATTTGCAAACAGCATTAGGTCAGCGGATACCCCCAGTATGCTTTATACTATGGGTATAAAGCATAGTCTTCATTCCTTAACCTTAAAAACAGGTTCACCAATTAGTCAGATGCTTGGTTCAGGAAGCACTGGCAGTTCAGCTAATGACAATGGGTCAAGGAGCACTGGCAGTTCAGCTAACCCCAATGGATCAGGAGCCATGGGTTCAGGAGACACTGGCAGTTCCTTTAACCCCAGCGGGTCAGGAGGCTTTGGTTCAGGAGGCACTGGCAGTTCATTTAACCCCAGTGGGTCAGGAGGCTTTCGCTCAGGAGGCACTGGCAGTTCATAAAACCCCAGTGGGTCAGGAAACTTTTTCTGGCTGCCATACGTAGGACTTAGGTGGAGGCTCTGGCCTTTCATGAAATTTGGTAGGATCTGGCTCCCCTGGAGAATCTGGTAGCTCTGGAGAACCTGGCAGCTCTAAAGGATCTGGCAGCTCTGACAGCTTTGGAAGATCTGGCAGGTTTGGAGGATCTGGCAGCTCTGACAGTGATGGAGGACCTGGCAGCTCTAGAGGATCTGGCAGTTTCAAATGATTTGGCAGCTCTGACAGTGATGGAGGATCTGGCAGCTCTGGAGGTTCTGGCAGCTCTAAAGGATCTGACAGATCTGACAGTGACAGAAGATCTGGCAGTTCTTAAGGATCTGGCAGCTCTGACAGTGACTGAAGATCTTGCAGCTCTGGAGGATCTGGCAGTTCTAAAGGATCTGGCAGCTCTGACAGTAACGGAGGATCTGGCAGCTCATTTAACCCAAGTGGTTCAGGAGGCTTTGGCTCAGTAGGCACTAGCAGTTCATTTAACCCCATTAGGTCAGGAGGCTTTGGCTCACAATGCATCAGCAGTTCATATAACCCCAGTGGGTCTGGAGGCCCTGCTTCAGAAGGTACTTGCAGTTCTGGGAAGTCAAACAGCTCTAGCTGCCATTCGTGGGACTTAGGTGGAGGCTCTGGCCTTTCGTGGAACTCAGGTGGCAGCTCTGGCCTTTCATGAAATTCGGTAGGATCTGGCTCCCCTGGAGAATCTGTCAGCTCTGGCAACTCTGGAGAACCTGGCAGCTCTAAAGGATCTGGCAGCTCTGACAGCTCTAGAGGATCTGGTAGATCTGGAGGATCTGGCAGCTCTAGATGATCTGGCAGTTTCAAAGGATCTGGCAGCTCTGACAGTGATGGAGGATCTGGCAGCTCTAAAGGATCTGACAGCTCTGGAGGATCTGGCAGCTCTTAAGGATCTGGCAGCTCTGACAGTGACGGAAGATCTGGCAGCTCTGGAGGATCCGGCAGTTCTAAAGGATCTGGTAGCTCTGACAGTGATGGAGGATCTGGCAGCTCTTTTATCCCAAGTGGTTCAGGAGGCTTTGGCTCAGTAGGCACTGGCAGTTCATTTAACCCCATTAGGTCAGGAGGCTTTGGTTCACAACGCACCAGCAGTTCATATAACCCCAGTGGGTCTGGAGGCCCTGGTTCAGAAGGTACTTGCAGTTCTGGGAAGTCAGAACAGCTCTAGCTGCCATTCGTGGGACTTAGATAAAAGCTTTGGCCTTTCGTGGAACTCAGGTCGCGGCTCTGGCCTTTCATGAAATTCGGTAGGATGTGGCTCCCCTGGAGAATCTGTCAGCTCTGGCAACTCTGGAGGACCTGGCAGCTCTAAAGGATCTGGCAGCTCTGACATCTCTGGAGGATCTGGCAGGTCTGGAGGATCTGGCAGCTCTGACAGTGATGGAGGATCTGGCAGCTCTAGAGGATCTGGCAGCTTTAAAGGATCTGGCAGCTCTGGAGGTTCTGGCAGCTCTAAAGGATCTGACAGCTCTGACATTCGTGGGACTTAGATAAAAGCTTTGGCCTTTCGTGGAACTCAGGTCGCGGCTCTGGCCTTTCATGAAATTCGGTAGGATGTGGCTCCCCTGGAGAATCTGTCAGCTCTGGCAACTCTGGAGGACCTGGCAGCTCTAAAGGATCTGGCAGCTCTGACATCTCTGGAGGATCTGGCAGGTCTGGAGGATCTGGCAGCTCTGACAGTGATGGAGGATCTGGCAGCTCTAGAGGATCTGGCAGCTTTAAAGGATCTGGCAGCTCTGGAGGTTCTGGCAGCTCTAAAGGATCTGACAGCTCTGACATTCGTGGGACTTAGATAAAAGCTTTGGCCTTTCGTGGAACTCAGGTCGCGGCTCTGGCCTTTCATGAAATTCGGTAGGATGTGGCTCCCCTGGAGAATCTGTCAGCTCTGGCAACTCTGGAGGACCTGGCAGCTCTAAAGGATCTGGCAGCTCTGACATCTCTGGAGGATCTGGCAGGTCTGGAGGATCTGGCAGCTCTGACAGTGATGGAGGATCTGACAGCTCTAGAGGATCTGGCAGCTTTAAAGGATCTGGCAGCTCTGGAGGTTCTGGCAGCTCTAAAGGATCTGACAGCTCTGACAGCTCTGGAGGATCTGGCAGCTCTTAAGGATCTGGCAGCTCTGACAGTGATGGAAGATCTGGCAGCTCTGACAGTGATGGAAGATCTGGCAGCTCTGAAGGATCTGGCAGTTCTAAAATATCTAGCAGCTCTGACAGCGACAGAGGATCTGGCAGCTCTTAAGAATTCGACAGTGACAGAGGATCTGGCAGCTCTGGTGGTAATGGTAATGGCAGCTCTGGCAGTAACAGCTCTGGTGGTGGCAGCAGCTCTGGCAACTTAGGTGGTGGAGGCCATTCTTGTGGGTCAGGTAATGGTGATTCAGGAACAGGAAACTGGGCAGAAACTGTGACACGGCAAGACTCAGAACAAGAAACCATTTACTGAACCAATGGTAGATTGTTGCTTACCATCTTGTGAGCAGGTAAACTAAGCCGTTTTGTGAGCGGATGGACTGGTGGCCACCATCTCGTGAGCTGAAGAACTGTAGGCAGCTATTCTATGCCGTAACTGTGTTGTAGTGCACTGATGAACTGAAGACAGGAGTATTGGTGATGCCAGCATAACAGTGGAGTGAGAAGGAAGCCCTGTTGCCAGGTCTTGCTGTCCTTTAAAGGCAGGCAGCAAACATGAGTAGGATTTTGATCACGTTCCGACACAACCTATAATCAACCAAATATCAACATCATTTGACATTATGACGTTATTGGACCCTGGCTAGTTAGTGAATTTTGGACATTGAATTTTAAATTCTGGACATGTGAATTTCGACATCACGACCTAAATCTAACCTAATATTGACTTCAAATGACGTGCCTGCTGGGTGCATTGTTGTCACAACATGGCATATTTTCTTTTTCAAGATCTGTCAAGATCTGTCTTCTTTGGCAAAAGTATGGTTACATGTAACCCAAAGCTTCCATTCAAAAAAATTTAGGAAATTTCTCCTGATTTAAAAAGAAGGAAGTAAAGCCTTATGAAATAAGCATCGTCATTCAGATTCTTTACTTGATAGATTCCTTCAGCATCTTAAGTTAAACTGGAGATCGTGTCAGCATGGGCTCTGAACAGTTTTCTCCTTGTTCTTAAGAACATGCAGTGAAGTGACCTCGACGCAAAGCACACCTGCCAAAGCCTCCACATCATCCTCAGCGTTTTGCATGCCAAACCAAAAAGACCAAACAAAAGCCTCCATTTCTGAGTAAGTACAGCGTGCAATTGTGACTTCGAGCATTTAAAAAAAAAAGACAATTTTCAGATATTCGTTACCATGAATTATTTACCAGCATCATCAGGGAAGTGAAGACTCCTCCTGAAAATGGGGTGCCAGTTGATAGCTCCTCTGCTGAAAGCCTACAAGTAAGTTTGTTTTTAATTGAATTGGAATATTAACTTTTCTCTAGAATTTACGTTTGTCTCATCTCTACTCCAAATCTCAGGTGTGTCAAAAACACAAGTGCTGTAATTCAGAAGAAGTGTTTGCTTCTGAGAACAACCTGAATGAGCATTACACCACAGGACAGAACAAAAGAGGTATATTGTTATTTTTTAAAAATATCAGTTTCACTACTCTAAATGTCAATTCCATCTGGACATTAATTACTTGTTCACTTGTTCAACAGATGTTGGTGATATCAGGTTGCTTTCTGGCAAAGAAGAGTCAGATTTGTCATCTTTCAAGTCACCAAAGTAGGTTTATTTTACATCACTCTGTTTGTTTAAACAGCAATCAGTTAGACTACAAAAGTTACAAAACAGTTCAATATTGCCTTCCCACGAGATTAATATAACAATATCAGCTGCATTTCTCTCTTATTTTGAAATTAAGGCAGTGATTTTGAAAACCTTTGAAAACAAGGGAGGAGTGATGGTATTCACATGGGGGCGGGGGTGGGGGAAAGGGGGTAGGTGGTATTCTGCATATTTTTTGCTAAATACATGTCTACAGGTCCAGTGCACAAGTTCTATCTCTGTATTGAGGCATTTGACTAACCGACTGTATGTAAACCTGCATTTTCAGAACTTGATGCATCCGAGACAAGATTTGAAAAGTAAGGTTGTAGCAAGCCTACCTACAAGTTAAGAGTTTGTCGGTTGCTTAAAACCCACATAAAAGATTGCTATAGTTCGCAGCACTCCAGCAAAATATATAGATATTTAAAAAATATTTATAAACACAAATAAATTGGTATTTATCTAACTCACAGAACCAACAAGGGTACATTTTATGGCCCTTTCACTTGAGAAGCAAGAGATGAACAACTACATTTGGGCTAATCCCCGAATGTCTGGACCCTGGTTGGAACTGATGTTTCCTATCCCCATCATATTATAGTATTTTGTGCTGGTAAACTTTCTGTTGGCTAAAAGCTGATTTATACTTCTGTGTCAAGTGATCGGCATGACCCACATCGCTTGCCTTGCGCGTAGCCATGCATACACTTATGTGTGCGGTTCTGACGCTGAATCCCTGTGTGAATGGGGCATAACAAGTTTGTGCAACTCTCGGTCCCGCGAACACTTGTCAGGGATACCAAGCCGACCAATCACAGAGCTTGCACTTTGTGTTGTTGTGACGTGCAGTTGCATCAGCGTCGGCAACAGCCACGAAGAGGGCTATGTGACCACGCAAAGGCTGCACCAGAGCATATGTGTGAACTTGATGCAGAAGTATAAATCAGCCTTAAATTAGCCTTTAGTCCTCATGCATCAATGAGCCTTTGGTGCATTAAGAGATACTATTTTCGCAGAGGGAGACCCCCAGAACTAAATATGGAATCTTAACCAAGAAGGCCCAGAGCAGTAACCTGTGCACAGGGCCTTTTCAAAGAAACTCTGAACCAGTCCCCTTGACATAACATCTTTTCCCTTATCACTGAATATCTTTCTTCAATTCATTCATTCATTCATGGTTCTTTAGCTTAGGGAGCACTTACACTAGGCTATCCAAACAATGGACGGGCTTGTTTCCCGGTTCGTTTGACAAGTGTGAGTGCTCTGAATCAGGCCCAGGCACGATCCAGTTGGCTGGCTCTGGCCCGGTTGGAAGAGGTGTGGCAAAACGCTTGTAGTTCGAAAGCAGAATGATAGGGAACAGGGGAGGGAAGACCAGCTTGCTCGAGCACGGTTCAAGCCAACTGTACCTAGTGTGAGTCTTTTATTTATCAGGGGTTTCCACAGCAGATTGAACCAACACTCAAGATCTTTATTCCTGTCTATTGCTTCTGCATCAAACATGCTAGTTGTTTGTTTACTGTCTATCGTCCTGAATGATTTTTTAGATGATCAGTGTTATACACTTTACCTGTGACTGGTCATAATGTTTTGGCTCATATTGTATGTTCTAAATGACTTATTTACGTAGTTATTATTTCAAGCACAATAAGTTTATACCTAAACTTTTGAATATATTTGTAAATATATAAAATTATTTGGTTAATTCCACATTTGTTTGTAATTATGCATATTTTGAACTGCATGGTGTAGATTTTTGCCTGTTTTGTAAAACTGAACCAATTTGGTTTGGCTTTTTTTCAATCAGGAGGCAGTTATGTACCTGCTCACCTAAAGATGAAACATTGACTCTGAGAACTGGGAAAAGACTGAGAAAAAGGTTGGCTATATCAAAACATTTCTGAATTCAGAAGTAGTGCATGTCAAAATAAAAGTCATTCTACAGTACCCAAATACAAATCTCACTTTCATATGCATGAAAACTAAGTAGAGTTTGCTTACATTTTAGTGACTTCAGATTGCCCGATGACCACAAAGAGCCTGATATCAGCTCAAGTGAGAAGGAAAGATGGAACAGTGTAAGTTAGATCTGCATTTAGCCCTACTATTTACATTAAATCAACATGATTGTCAAAAATGACTGTGCAACTCTTTTTGAATTTCTAGCAATGCGATTGTGGGGCGAATGCAAGGAATCCACAGGTCCTTCTGTCATTTGAGCCAGAGCACATGAAGGAGAAGAGGTTTTTGTATGATGGAAGATCCAATAATAAGAACGTCACCACAAACATGCCTGATCAACCTTTTGAAGTGCATGCTTCTTGGGAAGGGTGTGCTGTTGAGATAATTATAAACATTGCTAAGCATAGCACAGATGTCTTGGACTTCAGCAACAGTGCAGCAACCAGACCAAGCTGTTTTGACCATTATGTCCAAATAATTTCTTTTCTTATTGGATTTTGGCTAAAACATTCAAAGCAGGATATCATCTTGTCAGTTGGTAGATTCTCCGTACGGCTGCAAGCAAGTGATCTGTACTGTTGCCCAATCAAAGAAGACGACAAAGAGTTACGTCTTCAAGACAAAAAGCTTTCTTATGCAACATTGAGTCCATCAGAAAAATTTGCTAAAAAATATTCAGAAACAATTTGGAACTACATGGTGGGGAACCATGACAAAGTTAATTCTCTTGTACAAACCCCTCAGGATGCCATTGCAGTATGTGCCATTTTGTTCTCGGAGGTCATCAGGTATCCTAACATGCTTTTCCACAACATCCTCATGATGCTGTATTACAAATCATGGGATGACTTTTGTGACCATCATCCCATGGTAAGAGGAGGATCATGGAAACATCAGAACAATGATGTCCCTGCAAAGGTTAAAAGGATCGAAAAAAACAACCTTTTATTTTTTGCCAAGGAAATGATGAGAGGTGGAGGAGTTTTATTCCACGTTTCTGTTTCAATGCAATTAAAAATGCAAAATTATGAAACAGAAATTTAAGGAGGCTCTTTTAAGGAGAGGCTTCTGGGGTATGGGAGCTGAACACGCAGCAACCCTTGAAGTTTCACCCAAAGAGAGACTTTATAATAATAATAATAATAATAATAATGTTATTTTTATATTGCATTGTTTTTACTATGGGCGACGCGGTGGCGCAGTAGGTAGTGCTGTCGCCTCACAGCAAGAAGGTCGCTGTTTCAAGCCTTGGCTGGGTCAGTTGGCATTTCTGTGTGGAGTTTGCATGTTCTCCCCGCGTTCGCGTGGGTTTCCTCCGGGTGCTCCGGTTTCCCCCACAAATCCAAAGACATGCATTGTATTTGTATATATTTATTGATTTATTTTTATAATATTTATATATAATATTTATATAATATATATAATATAATATGTATATAATTTTGTATTAAATAAGTTTTTATATTTAAATAAATTTTATTTATTGACTATACTGAGTCTGTCATTTTGTGAGTTGTCACTGGAAGGCATGAGAGGACTAATAATATTTTGATATGACAAATAAAATGTATTGTCATGACTGTTAATTAAACAGTTGGGTAACACATTAGGTCACAATTCACAGTATTAACAAACCCTTAAATATCACTACTAGCTTTAAAAAAAGCTAATAATTTGCTGTTTATTAGTTAGTAAGGTAAAAACTGGGTAGGGCTAGGGATGCAGAATAAGATAATACGTTATAGCTACTAATGAGCGGTTAATTTATTAATAATAGGCAGGTAATAGTAGTTACTACCATGAGTTGTGACTAAAACTGAAGTGTTACCGACATTTGTTATCATGTGTATGGGTGTTTCCCAGTGATGGATTGCAGCTGGAAGGGCATTCGCTGCATAAAACATATGCTGGATAAGTTGGCGGTTCATTCTGCTGTGGCTACCCCAGATTATTAAAAGGACTAAGCCGAAAAGAAAATGAATGAAGGAATGAATAATGATATATCACGAAATCTGTATGAACCATGAAGGAAAAAAGTATCAGTACACTGTTTTTCAACTTTATTTGGTAATTCTTTCTTACTTAATATTAGGATACTGCTAAGCATACATATACAGTTTTTGCATCTTTCATTAGGATGGAAATAAACTTGCAAAGAGTTCAAGACCAATGAAATAGTGTTGTGATCACACATTGCAATGTTATTTCTGTTATATAAATGCATACCACATTTGCATTACAGAATAAAAGACTTCTCCCTGCAGTAGAGGAGGATGGAAACGGATAAATGGATCAAACATGAAATCAATAAACAAATGTTCTTCAAGCCATTTCATTGAAAATAAAGTATTTCAATAAGCTTATTTATAATGTAAAAATCATTTTTACAACACTGTTTACTTGTTAGTCAGGTCAACCAGGTACTGGTGCTGAAGTATTTGTATTTAAGAAAACCCGATGCATTAATAATTAAAGTCAATGCACTAAAGTCTGTGGCTGCGTCCGAAACCGCCTACTACTCAGTAGGTACTGCATTTGAATTTAAACATACTACTTGGCCGTTAGAAAAGTACGTTCTATGCAGTGTGAATGTGAAAAGTATGAATGGAATTCGGACGTACTACATCCGCCATTTTGTCATGGTCACATGACCTATCTGCGTCAGTTGCGTCGCTTCACTCCCATTCATGAGTTCTATCGCAGGGCATTATGGGATAGCGCAGCGTGCATGGAATGCGCACTCCAGAATCTCGCCGGAAATAGTAAGTCATCTGGGAACTTCTCGCATACTGATTGTCGAATTCTGTGAATTCGGACATTCTACTCGGCTCGCATACTGATTTTAGTGTACTATATAGTATGAAAATATGCGGTTTCGGACGCAGCCTGTGTAAACTTTTTGTCAGTGATCCTGTGTTTTTTAGCAACCTTATTTTTTTTCAAATATTTCCCAATTTAGAGAAATTTTAGATCTGAAAAAGCATACACAGCGGCCTCTGGTGGATTCATGAAAACAAAAACTGCAAAAAAAAAACATGGCTCCTGCGAAGTATTTGCAGCTCCACAAAAATGTATATAGGGCTACGTTTTTGAAAATATCTAGTAAAATATTATTTACTGTCATCATGGATCAAGGATAAAATAAAGTATTTAGAAAATATTGTTAGAAAATTGTTGTTAAAACTATTGTATTAATAAATGTGTTGAAAAAAAATCGTATTTCCATTAGACATGAATTGGGGAATAAAGATAAATGGGGGGGGGGGGGGGACTTCAACTGTATATATGTATATATATATATATATATATATGTATATATATATATATATATATATATATATATATATATATATATATATATATATATATACATACATACATACACACACACATATTGGTCAACATTTAAGGTGGATCAAAAAAGTTTGATAGTTTTAGAGATTTAGTTTTAGGACAATGTTTCTGAAAAGTTTTAATATTGAAACACCTCATCAAATTGTATCAAAGCCTTTCATCAATGTTGTCCTAAAACTGTTCAGCAACCCCCATTTTTGTCCATTTTTGATTTGAAAAACTTTTTTGGTCCACTTACACCCATGGTTTTACTCTAAAAAGCATTGTACAGTGTGTACAGTTGAAGTTAGAATTATTAGCCACCCTTTGAATTTTTTTCTTTTTTAAATATTTCCTAAATTATGTTTAACAGAGCAAGGAAATTTCCACAGTATGTCTGATAAAATTTTTTCTTCTGGAGAAAGTCTTATTTGTTTTGTTTCCGCTAGAATTAAAGCAGTTTTAAATTTTTTAAATATCATTTCAAGGTTAAAATTATTATCCAGTTTAAGCAATTTTTGTCAACAGTCTACAGAACAAACCATCGTTATTTAATGACTTGCCTAATTACCCTATCCTGCCTAATAAACCTCATTAAACCTACCTACTTAAGCCTTTAAATGTCATTTTAAGCTGTATAGAAGTGTCTTGAAAAACATCTAGTCAAATATTATTTACTGTCATCATGGCAAAGATAAAATAAATCAGTTATTAGAAGTGAGTCATTAAAACTATTATGTTTAGAAATGTGTTGAAGAAAATCTTCTCTTCGTTAAACAGAAATTGGGGGAAAAATAAACGGGGGCTAATAATTCTGACTTCAACTGTATAGTGTGCCCACAGTCATATTGAAGTGAAAGAAACACAATAAGTGTTGACGTTAAAAATAGGTCCCAAATCCCAGTGATTTGGTGATGTAGGAGTGCAGTTTCCCCGCCCACCAAATTGATTGAATGTCTCTATAACATGTATACGCAGAGCATGTTCATTTTTTTTTGCAAAGAAACTGGGATTAAAACATGTTACAAGTCTCTGTGATCAGCTGCACACTATAATTAGTTTTATAAGTTTTAAACATTTTTAAAACAGAGCATGTTTGTAATAAAGACAGTAATATCACCATGTAATTCTTAACCGCTCTTATTACCATTGCCACATGGTGTCAGTAAATGTTAGTACTGCACTAAGCACTTTGTGCAGCCTTGTTGCAGTTGGAAACATGCTATATAAATAAATTGAACTTGAACTTGAACTATCACTGACTGCTGTTTAACTGACCAAACGCATGAGATGCAGACAACTTATCCAGCTTGCACGTTGGAGCAGTGGGTGGGGAGAAGCAGCTCGTTTGGATTTAAAGCCACAGGCTACAAAAACAGCTTCTCTGAAGCCGGACACCAAAAATGGGCAGATTCGATATAATATAATAAATTATCTGATGGATATTTTGAGCTGAAACTTTACAGGCAAATTCTGGAGACACCAAAGGCTTACAACTTCACTGTAAGAGCCAACAGTCAACTTTGTCAACTGAAATGAGTGTAGTTAACTCAAAGTTGACTGAAAGTTAATTCTACTCATTTGAACTTAGTGTTAAAGGTAATGAGTTAATTAAAAACCTCATTACTTCAACTTAAATAAAGTTCACAATACTTATATAAATTAGTTTTTTAACTCAAATTGTTTGTAGCACTGGGTTTCCTCAAATGATTTGAGTTGCCTTATTGGGTTTTACAGTACTCAGTTGGTTTGAGTTCTCTTCATTTATTAGGTTTTACTGTGCTCAAATTGCTTCATTTACTTAAATGGATTAAGTTCACAGTACTCATTAGGATTGTTTTTTTAACTTAAATGGTTTGTCGCAATTGATTTCCTCAAACGGTTTGAGTTACCCTAACTTTTGGGGTATTACAGTGTTGTAAAATGGGTAAAATAGGTGCCCTTTAAACAAGGCAGTGTGAAGACTAAATAAACCAGTACATCATGAAAACTCTTCAGAAATGTTAAATTATTGAATTAATTTGTTTAATGTTTGCATCAGCATCAGAGTTTTGGATGAACAGCCATTAAATAAAGAGACAGAAACCGCTCACATTCGGTTGTAAACTATTTAAAAATATATTTATTTGTGTTTCAGAGATGAACAAACTTCTCATGGGTTTGAAATTCCATTACAATGAAAATTTTCATTTACAATCTGGGGTTTAAATAAAACACTGTTTCTTGATGCTCACCCCAGGTCAACCGGTGGATTAGTCTCCTTGTAAGCCTCAGTTTTGGAAGTTTGAGCAGGACAGCATGTTCTGCATCTAACAATGTGCATCTTCTCTTTGAGACCATCAACACATGCTTTGATGGCACTGCGAACCGCTGCCGAGGAAAAGTAAAAAATGATGGGGTCCAAACAGGCATTCAGAGTGCTGAATAGCAGAGCAAAGTGTCGCCAACCTTCGCTATTCCGATGGATGAAACCAACCACGTGTGAGATGTTATAAGGGCTGAAGCAGATGGTGAAAACCAAGAGTGTCCCAACCGCCAACCCAATGGCTCTGAGTCTGCGACGCCGTCCCAGATGGGGCAGGTTGGAGAGGATTCGGATGAAGTTGATGTAGCAGAAGCAGCAGATGAGGAGGGGTATACAGAAAAGCAGGAGGAAAAGCTCCAGGCGAACAGGAAGCAGAATGGTCATCTGCTCTAAGGTGAAGTTATCGTAGCAGTTTCTCACATGGGGATTGAGCTGTAGCTTGCTGTAGGTGGAGTTATCGCTCGAGTCTATGTATGGGACGATGTAAACAATGCTGAGGTTTAGAGATCCCAGAAGCCAGAGGAAGCAGCAGGCGATCACAGCATTTCGTGGTCGGCGGCCCAAAG